CCCTTCCCTCTAGTCCAGGAGCCAACACACTAGGAAACAAGTACAGTCTGATCCCTTTCCTTCCAGCAGGTGGGAGGGGAGGAACACAGGAAAAGGTTCTCCTCAGCACGTGCTGACTTGTGACAGGGAAAGGAAATGGCAACCACTAGCTCCTCCTGGTGGTGGGAAGAGCATGAGCACTGACCCCCGGATTCATGTAGGAGGACGCGGGGTTGCAAATGCCACTGGGCGCAAAGAACCTGGCTCCGACCCTGCTCTGTGGCTTCTTAGCCCAGTGCCCACAGACAACTTCAGTTCTGGCAGCAAGGCTGTTCCGAGCAACAGATGAGGTGAGGAGCGTGAAGTGCTCCTGACTCCCAGTCACCCTTCCCCCAGATCTCTCCAAACAGTGTTCGCTGCCCAGCCCACAGTCAGAGCCTTGGTATGCATCCCAACCACTAAACCCAGAATTACAACATCTTCCTGCTTCCCTCCTTTCAACTTCTTCTCTGTAAAACTGTCCTACATGCAGCACTAATTAATAAGTCTCTCCCAGTCCCACTCAAGCTTTATTATCAGCCACTTTACCCCAAAGCTCTAATAATAGGCATTTCTGATTTTCCCTAAGTCAATATAGCAGCTAAACAAGAGTACAGACAGTAGTTCTAGAGTTATTAGGGAAGGTTGTGTGTTTAATGTTTGTTTTTGTGGGAGCTTTTTTGAAGAGAGTTGCAAGTAAGAAAGAGTTTGGTTTTTCTTCCTTCCTCTGGACCATCATAAATTACTGATCTTTCTTTCACTTAAACTGCTTAGAAGGGGGAAAAAGAATCAATAAGACAGGGCACTTGAGTAAACATGAACATATTAGTTAGCATTTTTCACAAAGTGATACTCTTATACCCCAAAGTATGGCAGCAATAAATTGTTTTCCATTCTCAAGCCTAGAAATGCTTTCAAATTATAGTAAAAAAAAAAAAAAAAAAAAAAAAAAAATTGAATGTATTGCCAATTGGGCTCTGTCCTACTTGTTCTCCATTCTCCTTCCTGCCTAGTCTGTTGTGTGTCTGTGTATGTATCTGTGTGTCAGGCCATGGGGGCTGTACTCCTGCCTCCGTGATGTGGGAGACATTAACAGACAACCAGAGAACAGAGAAAGTTTGTGGGGGGCTCTTGCCCCAGCACCATTCTGCCTCAGCACTGTGATTCTGGCCTCCGTCCCCCTACAACCGGGGGCTGAGTAAGGGGATTCTGGCGACAGCCCCTCCTCACAGCTCAGTTCCTTTCACCCAGCTTCAGAAACACAGTCTCCTAGCGTCCTCAGGAGGGGTAACACTACACAAAGCTGCTAATCACTGGAGGCCTCAAGTTTCCTCCTAGGTTCCCTTAACCCTGACCACCCTTCTTCAAATACTTCGTTAAATTATGTTGACAGCCTCATCTGAGTGTGCCTTGACCTAACTGACAGAGGCTCCCTGCACCCAGCTTCGAATCACGGTATCTCCAGTTCGCTGTCATTTATGGTCCAGAAAGTCTAGTGCCTTCACAGGCAAACTATCTGCTTCTGCCTCAGCCTTCTCATGTATTGTTCCCAATTTTGCGTAATATATCCACCTGCCGTCTCCATCCATTCTAGTTTGTAGTTCAACAACTCTACAAAGCTTTCCCAGATTTCTTCAACACTGTGATACTATACTAGCCTGGAAGGAGTTATGTCAACTTTTTCTTATTGGTAATCCAATAAGAGAACAATATTCTGTGTGTAATAAATACTAACTGGCTCTCACTTAGGTTAAGTGAAATCCATTCTTCCTTTCCAAGACAGTGATCAACCATCAGTGACTCAAAGAACCTGCCCTCTGGGACTGTGTCACCTTGCAATCACTGATGTGGTTATTAAAGACTTCTCAATCCTTCCAAGCTACAGAACAGTCTCAAAGAAGCAGAAGTGATAATAATAATGAGCACAAGACAACACCCCACCATCAGGTAATCAAAATTCTTCTTCTAAGATGCAGGAAGGAGAAAGAGGGAGAGGTAGGAAAACAAACCCCAAGTAGAAGAAAAAATAAAGATTGCGTTTTTCTCTCCTTGAACTATGTAGGAGATACAGGCACATCAGCAGAGGACTTGTTAATGGCCTCCTAAAAGAGGGAACAAGAATTACAAAAGAAACTCCTGGTCTGTTGCTTGTCTTAGTCTAAAATGGAAAAGTAAACAAAATAACACTCCACAATCTTTGTTGTCTGATGTAAGGATAATTGGCTCTCAGCTACTTTAAACAAAGTTGCAATCACTCATTATGCAACAAATTCTCTAAATGACCTAAAATGTTTGGCTCGAAAAGAAGAGCATAAAACAGATGTAATATTAAAGACTCCAATTATGAATAATTCCTTGATAAGACCCCTCATCAGTGCCAACAATTAATTTACTAACATGAATTACAGTTATGAATTCAAATTTTGGCAAAAAATTAAAGTAAATATGGTGTGGTCTCAGCACGCTTTCCATTAAACATGTTCTTGTTTACCAGGAAAAAAAGCAAAGGCCTATATGTCTTAAACCATCAGATGATTATGGCTGCATATGAAATAAGATCCAATTCGAAGTGTCTTAAATAATTCACGCATTCAGTCTTTGAATGAGAAATCTGGATATAAAGGACTCCAGGACTAGACCAGAAACTCAGTGTAAGGTTCTCATGGATTCTCACAGATACAAAATAGCTACCTGAGCTGCAAACACTGTATCCTTCCATGACAGCATCCCAAGCAGGAAGAAAAAGTATAGGAAAAGAGGACTTTTTGTCCTAAGCCTGTTTCTTCTCAGGAAGAAAAACCTTTCCCGGAAGCCCCTCTCTGTTACATTTCAATGCCAGAACGGACTTACACAAGGACCCTTAAATTGCTGACTGAAGAGAATGAGGTGCCATCACTGACCTACAGCAATCACGACACATTCCCCTATGACTGGCCCAAAGCATGTTAGCAAAAAAGAAAAAAATATATTATCGTACAGGCAGGCACCAAGTGTAGCATCCAGAAAAACATCTGCACACGTAGTTTCAGTCATGCTTCAAATTCAGAGATGAGTGAAGTTAAGGAGGGGTGGGGGCAGGGGCCCTAGGCTCAGATATCCTACACGGGCCAAGCAGAAACTGAGAACAAATGAGGCAGGCTGGGTGGGAACTGCACAGCTCTGAACAGTGTGTGGCCTCCAGTTCTCCACTGATTTTACATTCTTATCTCAAATTATCAGTGAAGTACAGTAGAGTTTAAGAATAAACAGACATTCGGGGCACCTGGGTGGCTCAGTCAGTTGAGCATCAGACTTCGGCTAAGGTCATGTCGTCATTCTCACGGTTCGTGAGGTCAAGCCCCGCATAGGGCTCTCTGTGGTCAGTACAGAGCCCACTTCAGATCTTCTGTCTCCCTCTCTCTCTGCCCCCGTGCATGCACGCATTATCTATCTCTCTCAAAAACAAACATTTAAGAAAAAAAGAATGAAAAGATATTCTTTCTCTAACCTTTACACAAATAGGTAAGACTAGCTTCAGACTCAGAAATTATGACACATTAACCTGTTACCATGTACCCTTTACAGTGCCGTAAGCAACTTATTTCACTTTTTAAAATAAAATGTTATGTGTTAGGTATCACCTGTCCTCATTTTTACAAGTGAGGGAAGTGAGCCTTAGAGAGGAAAGTAATTTCTCAACAACCACATGACTTCTGGGTGGTGAAGCAGGGAACAGCACGACTACCAGGACCTGGAGTTCACAGAAGCTAAACACGACTCATGAAACGAATGCTCTTGCCCAGGTTCTGTAGTCACTTGAGAAGGAGGCTCCGGGTTAACAAATACGGCTCAGTGGCCAGCTAGTTCCTTACAAAGCAACCATTTTCACCGGACTTTTCTCAGCCGTGTCCACTCCATTTCTACACAGAAAATATTTTAAAAGGCAGCAGCAATGCTTAGGGCTTAACCACTTCGGTAATGGGTGAGAATTCATTGGTAGCATGATTGCAGCAATCTTCAGATCTTAAAAATGCCTCCCAAACTCTACAGTGAATGCTGGTCCCTGACATGGAAGCTTGAATTTGTGAGTGTGGGTGCACCAGTGTAAACACATCATTTACCTACCTCTGTGTGAAAGACCTACTATTCACAAACTGTCAGATAAGAAAATCCCTGCCCCAGATAAGATAGGGTCATAAAGAGCAACGGGGCGCCTGGGTGGCTCAGTCGGTTAAGTGTCCGACTTTGGCTCAGGTCATGATCTTGCGGTTCACAGGTTCAAGCCCCACATCAGGCCCTGTGCTGACAGCTCAGAGCCTGGAGCCTGCTTCGGATTCTGTGTCTCCCTCTCTCACTGCCCCTCTCCCACTCGCACTCGGTCTTTCTCTCCCAAAAATAAACATTAAAAATAATAATAATAAAGAGCAGCATCTATGGAGTCTACTCATACTAGTCCATTTCACCCTAGTCCAGAAATCTGAAACCATTATTAACCTACTCTTCAACACCTTTTCCTGTTATCTCCTTTACATCTCTCTCTTATACACCATACGCTCCAGTCTTATTTATTAATGGATCCTCAGCACTTGGCACCTGGTATGAAGGTGCACAATAAACATTTGTTGAATGAACAGCAAACATGATATTGTTTATGCAGTGATATGTTAGACTCATAAGATATTCCAATATATAAAGCACATTGATAAGAGTGAATTAATTACTCAATTTCTCTTCCATAGCTGTATTCAGCTTTAGCATATGAGTTTTATAAGACACAAATAAAAGGTCAATCTGTAACTGGCAAAACCATCTTCCAAATTACACCAATCTAACAGAACTACATAGGTTGGATTAGATCAACTACCTCTCCCAACACATTCCATTCTACATTTACTCATCATTCTCTTTCACACTTCAGTTAAGTGTTGGAAAAAACAGAACATTCCCATCAAGCAGAAACTCCAGGCTAAGTACCATGTTAGATAATCAGATCCATGTCTTACCAGCATTCATATCTTTAAACTTCTGCTTTAGCTCAGTAGGAGTGAAACGATACTGATCAAGACCATCATTCCAGCGAATTCGGTCCAAGACTTGAAGATCTCCTCCAATCAGCCAATCTCCTTGTTCCATAACCATCTAATGGGAAGAAAAAAAAAATTTTTTTAAAAGAAAACAAGATCAAAATAAGGAAGAACATTTCCCTCACATGAGCTACATATAGTTGTAAACTAATCTTAAGGCCAATGGTAAATATGTTTGGCTTATCAACTGAACTGGGATTACAGACACATTAAAATTAGAATGTATTTGGGGCACCTGGATGGCTCAGTCAGTTGAGCATCTGACTCTTGATTTCAGCTCAGGTCATGATCTCATGATTATGAGACTAAGCCCCACATCGGGCTCCATGCTGAGCATGGACCCTTCTTGGGATTCTCTCATTCTCGCGCTCTCTCGCGCGCGCTCTCGCTCTCTCTCTCTCTCCCCCTCCCTCTTCCCCGCTCATGCTCACTCGCTCTCTCAAATAAAATTAAAAAACAAAACAAACAAAAATTAGAATATATTTTATAATTTCTCAGAGGTCTTGTGACACAACTAGGATATTTACATAGTAAAGGCAAACAACGTCAAAGTAAGTAATTATGACTTGTTATGTAACAAAACATTGTCTTCATTGTTGTTGTACACTGTTGTAAAGAAACCTTTGTAACCCTGAGTGAGCCCACCCCTCCTCTGTGTTCTCCAATCCTAAACTTTTGACTATTTAAAGCAATGCTGATGGAGCTGGACGCAAATTCATACCTTCTGATCTCCACATCACCCCTAATTTCTCACAACTTCACTCATGTTCCTTCCCTGCATCTGAGAGTAGGGATGTGACCTCTGGGACCTGTCCACTTCCACAGCACAGCTGAAACTCACCCTTCCCTCCCTGGCTTCAGCTTAGGTACTAATAATATACCCAGACCACTGTAGTCCCTTCCTACGGGGTCTATAAAGTCCCTCCCCATCCATCAAACCCTTCATTCGATAAATATTTACCAAGTAACTGGTACATGCCAGGGCCTTTGCTGGGCACCAGGAAATGCAGCAGAAAATGGGAGAAAGATCTAAGAGACCTTACGTTCTAGTGGGACACTGAACAGGAGCCAGACAGGTAGTGGCTAGTGACGAGTGTCACAGAGAAAATAACTGGGGCAATGGAACACAGTGCCCAGGAAGCAGAGTGAACGACATGTAAGAGCAAGGGGTCAATAAAGGTCTCTCTGAGGAGGGTGGCACTGAACCCGAGATGACTAAAAGGAACCAGCCACGGAGGTAAAGTATTTCAGGCAGAGGAAGAACAAGTAAAAAGTGCTGGAGCAGAAACAAAAGCCTGGAGCATCTGTCCTTGAGAAGCAGCCCAGGGCCAGGAAAGTCAGAGCAGGGATAGGAGCAGAGGTAGAGAGAAAGAGAGAGAGAGAGAAAGAGAGAGAGAGAAAGAGAGAGAGAGAGAAAGAGAGAGAGAGAGAGAGAGAGAGAGAGAGAGAGAGAGAGAGAGAGAGACAGACAGACAGACCATGAGTTAGAAGGTCAGGGCCGGACCTCGTCGGGACTTGGGTTTTATTCTATTGACAACGAGCAGCCCCTGGAGAGTTTCAGAGGATAGAGTGCTATGCTCAGATTTATATTTTTGAAGGCTCACTCCGGCTGCCCCAAGAACAGAAAGGCAGTGGGCATAAGGAAGCGGGATTCCAGCCAGAGCACAGCGGATGGTGTAGGCTGGAGACCTGGAGAGCTCAGACAGTACCAGTGCAAGTGGTGGTGGGATGGGGATATCCTGCACAAGACCACCAGGCCAAGCTTCTTAAAGTGCCACTTTGTTTGTGACTGTCTCATGCTCCCAGGCTGCCTGTGACCTCCACTCCTAGCAAGGCAGAGCAGCACAAAAGACCCACGACAGACTCTAATCCTGACTCCTAACTGGTGCCTCTGCAGGTCTGGGCAAGCCAAACCCAAAAGAAGACTCCTCAAGTTAAAGAAAACTGGTCTACCTCCAAGGATCATTGTTCGGACCAAACGACAGAAAGGCAGTTTGCAAAGCATAAAGCATAAATATATGTAAACCATGTGATGACTGAACATTTTAACATCTCAGGGTAGAATGCTAAGCCTTTTCTCTTCCCAAGGTCCTCTCTCCTGCTTAATAAACAGCCATTTCTCAAACACATGGAGTCTTTGCTCCTCCTGATCCCTAAAACTGGAATTGTGTTTCTCACCGTTCCTTATCGAAATCCTGCTGGTTCCTCAAGGTTGCATCCTAACAAGTTGTGCAGATTACTCTAAATAGAAGCGGCACATGCATCAGTAATTACTCTCTGCTATAGATTATGGAAGATGGCTCTGAAGCCACAAAGTCCTTAATTCATTTTTTTTTTAATTTTTAAGTTTACTTTTATTTTGGACGGGGGGGGAGGGAGGGGGGAAGGAGGGAGGGACAGAGAGAGAGAGAGAGAGAACATGAGTGGGGGAAGGGCAAAAGAGAGGGAGACACATCATCTGAAGTAGGCTCCAGGCTCTGAGCTGTCAGCACAGAGCCTAATTCAGAGCTTGAACTCACGAACCAAGAGATCACGACCTGAAGTTGGACACTTAACCGACTGAGCCACCCAGGCCCCCCACAAAGTCTTTAATTCAAATCAGACCCTCATTCCACTTATTAGCTCTATAATTTTGGTCAAGACATCTATCCCCTGTAGGTCTCAATTTCTCCCTGTGTAGGATAGAAATGCCACCCATCCTATAGGTTTGCTATGCGGTTTGAAGAATTTACATAAGCATGTTTTGTAAACCATTAATAACTGTAGAATTATGGAGTACCTGAGTGGCTCAGTCGGTTGAGCATCTGACTTTGGCTCAGGTCATGATCTCACAGCTCCTCAGTTTGAGCCCCGTGTCAGGCTCTGTGCTGACAGCTCAGAGCCTGGAGCCTGCTTCGGATTCTGTGTCTCCCTCTCTCTCTGCCCCTCCCTCACTTAGAGCCTGGAGTCTCTCTCTCTCTCTCTCTGCCCCCACCCCAACCCTGCTCATGCACTGTTTCTCTCTCGCTCTCCCTCAAATAAACATTAAATTTTTTTCTTAATAACGGCAGAATTTTAACTTTGAAGAAACATCTGACACCATCACTAGTTCAAATTCCTTATTTTCTAAAACAATATATCTCCCTATTTTAAAAAGTTTATCACTTCTTATCCTTCATGGGATGCGATTTAGGACACTGTCAGGATCTAAACAGACATCATAAAAAATTTTCTAGATAAAGCTACTAAAATTTCACTTAATTTCTTTTAAAGCTCATAGTGTACTTTAAAACTGACGGGAATTTTACTTCAATAACATTTCACACATAATACATAAAATACACGAGGCCCTCTGGAAAGACTAAGTGGATTTCACTATTTTCATATCGGAAACAACGTTCGACTGGAAGTCCAGACTAGATAAAATCACCCTGCCACGGGCTCCCATAGCACCCTGTCTACAGAGCCGACCTGTAAGCACATGATGTCTGCTCCACCACCAGCCAGTAAGCTCCAAGCCTATAAAGAACGTGCCTGCTGTGTACATCAGCCATATATCCCCAGAACTGGCACCAAGCTCAGTGCCTAATGCAAAAAAGATTTCCTGAACAATTATTTATCTGCACCAAAATGACAAGATCATGGTTCATCACACTAATCTAAGATCCAGTGTCCTTTCTGCAAAATAATTTTTTTTTTTTGAGAGAGCACCCACATGCACAAACAGGGGAGAAGCAGAGGGAGAAGGTGAGAGAATCTGAGGCAGTCTCCACGCCCAGCGTGGATTCGATCTCACAACTGTGAGATCGTGACCTGAGCCGAGAAATCAAGAATCAGACGCTTAATTGACTAAGCCATCCAGGCGCCCCCCCCCCATTCTGCAAAATATGAACAATTCCAACAGAAGAGTCAACATACGGGTGATGCCCGCACTGCAGCACAAACACTATTGGCAAATCAAGACAAGGCAGCAAGGTTTGCTCAGGACCTTGATGTAGGGATGGTTCTTGCACGTTGTTCCCCACTGTCTGGCACAGCGCTCCTCCTTCCTGTGCTCAAAAAACTCTGGGTTGCGAAGAATAGCCACACGGCAGCCCTCATACATCAGAGCAAATGCGGTGCAGCCGTCCAGCCTCTCTTTGTCTTCATGAGTAGCCGGCAGAACTATAGGTACTGACAAGTTAATGACACCCCCTGCAGGACACAAGAGAACATGAAGCACACAGCTTGGATTACTCAACAGGCCATATATCCACCTTCCACTTCAGGGGATGCTCTTCAAATAATACAAGATTTATGGGTCAGTGACAGTATCTGGCACAGAAAATCAGGAGAGAGAACAACCCCCCCACCGCAAACAGGTTTAAAAAAAAAAAAAAAAAAACCAGCAAAACATTAAGAGTGTCAACACCGTGTAGCAATGTACTTCCCACACTTCCCACAACAATTCATGAAACTGTCTTTGGGAAGAAAAAAAGTGGTATAAAATCACAGACATAGAAGAAACAGTTTAACAAGGAAGAATCAACTGGTTAAGCCTGGTGTCCTCAAAATATACTGAGCACCTCCAATATATGAATAAGACAAAAAATGTTTTCAGGGCCTTTCTAGGAAAATGTAAATCCGTTCTGATAACTATACTTTGAGTGGCAAGTATACTTGAGTCTGCTGGGGATACTTGGGTTTCCTTGAGAGAGGAAGACAAAAACACCCAAAAGGTTTTTTGATTTCTTCGTTTTTAATCAGAATTAAACCAATACCAGTGATTACTGGCCAAGAAACAAAGGAAGCAAGTGTGTCTATTTCAATCCAAATATGTTGTCTGTGAGACAATAAGCACATCCTCAGTTTCCAACCTTTCAAGTTCTAAAAGTTTTTTTTTTTTTTTTTTCCTACTCATCATGCCCAGGTTAGAAAAATAAAATGCACTCTCAAATTCATATGTGGATCTTATTTACATACCAGATAAAAGCATACTTTCTTGGAAATCATGGCTTGCCTTCCTTGGACAAAAGAGGTCAACAAAAATCAGTGATAACTGCTTGGCTGCTTTAAAGTTACCACCACTAGGTACAGTTTAAAGGGGAAAATTAATAGGTAGATTTGCAGCAAACACAAGGCTAAATCATTCCGAAGGAGGCAGTCCACAAAGATTCTGCCATTGGTTCCAAAGAAGAACAATCAAAAAGCAATATTTAACACTTACATTTTTGTGATACAAGTTTCTTGAGAAGAATGACTAGGAGTTACAATTTCTGGTATCAATTTCATTCCTTAGTTAAAAGTCATAACACAGACTATTTTATAGTCTGGCTATTTTATAGGCTTAGTGACATTTAAAAATATTTTATTTAATGTAACAAATTAATCTTACCAACAGTATACAAAGTTCTGGGTAGCTGAATTGTCAGTAAAATATATTAAACATCAATGTCTTTGACAATTTTTTTTTTTTTAGTGCTTTAAAAGAGGAAGAAGAACCATCACTTTAACCATCTATTTCAGGACTTCTTTGTTTTGTTTTTAAGATTTTATTTTAAGGAAACTCTACACCCAACTTGGGGTTCAAACTCACAACCCTGAGATTAAGAGTTACATGCTCCACCAACTGAGAGGCAGCCAGGTGCCCCTATTTCAGGACTCCTTAACTTGGCCTTGCTGATTCCTTATTAGAACACTCAAGCAAGCAGGGGCACCTGGGTGGCTCCATCGGTTCGGCTTCCGACTTCAGCCCAGGTCATGATCTAACGGTTCATGGGTTCAAGCCCCACGTCGGGCTCTGTTCTGACAGCTCAGAGCCCGGAGCCTGCTTTGAATTGTGTCTCCCTCTCTCTCTCTGCCCCTTCCCTACTCACACTCTGTCTCCCTCTGTCTCTCAAAAATAAATAAACATTGAAAAAAAAAATTCAAAAAAAACACGCAAGCATAGATTTCAGGACAGCAAAATTCAGGATATATGTGCACTTTTTCAGAGAAAGGCCTTCCATGATGATCAGGTGGATACAGCAGAGGGAAATTCTATTTGTTTCTTAAATCCATTTTCAGCCCTTATGCCCAGGGAAACCTGCATATATAAACCTGCATATCTCCCTCTGCAATAAATCACAATCCAGAAAACAAAACAAAACAAAAAGATCTCACAGTTCACTTCAAACATTCAGTACCGATATAACTTGGCCTTAAAATACTATCTTCCGGGGCACTTGGGTGGCTCAGTTGGTTAAGCATCCGACTTCACCTCAGGTCATGATCTCATGGTTCGTGGGTTCGAGCCCCGGGTTGGGCTCTGTGCTGACAGCTCAGAGCCTGGAGCCTGCTTTGGATTCTGTGTCTCCCTCTCTCTCTGCCCCTCCCCCACTTGCACTCGCTCTCAAAAATAAATAAAACACTTAAAATGCTACCTCCATTAAAGACATCACCACTACTTTTTAGAGGCAGTGATGAATTGCTGCCCCTGTGTAATTTCTCTTCCATACTCAATGTACAATTGAATGCAGAAGCTCTTACCATCCAGAAGACAATCAAAATGAAGGCACTGCAAGTACTCCCTCTCTCTCATAAAGCCATTCAGGGGGGTTGCCCAACCTTCTGCCAGAACCTGTACCCACTGCATATCCACCTAGTAAATGAGACAGTAAAGGAAAATGCTCTACTTCATATACTTATGAACAAAAACAGTAATAACCTTTAAGAGTTTAATTTGGAAAGCAATGGAAAGAAACACCTCAAGAATGATTATAGATTATACAAATCTAATAAAGATTAAGGGCACTAGGAAAATGTGCATCTCTCCTAATAAATGTGCATAACATTAGTCTTCAAAGCATTTCTAATAAGGATGGCATCTCCTAAACTAGTGGCTCTCAAACTTTAATATGCTAGAAGAAACCCTGGGAAGTCCTTTATTAAAATAGAGATTGTTCCACCTCCACAGATTCTACTTCAATCGCTTTGGTGTGGGGCCCAAGAATTTGTATTTTTAATAGGTTCCCAGAAAATGCTAAATGATAGTCTGCAAGTTATACTGTGACAACTAATGCCTTAAACTAAAACAAACTTTACATAAAAATATTTACCAGAACAAGTGCCTGACCAATGACAGGGCACCCTTTATTTTATAAAGATTATGTTACGTCTTGACTTTTAAGATTTCTAACCTATCCTACCAGAACGTTAAGGAATTGATGGACTACATACCATTAACGGAAGCTGGATATGCTCATTTTTTAACTGTGCGTGTGTGCAGCAGTGGCTCTCAAATGAGAAAAGATAAAGCACCTGGCCAACTGGGTGCAGTAAAATGTAGCTTACCATTTATTCCCAAAGTATGTGGGCCAATGTATTCCCCTCCTGTAAGTCACAGGATAAATTATATACATAGACCAAATTGTTTCACTTACTTTCAAGTTTTCCTCTTACCAATTATTTCTAAACGTTGGACAGTGGCCACTATTTGTCTCTACTGGAATTCAATTCTAGATGGTATGTGTTATGGACTGAATGTCTGTGTCCCCCCTCAAATTCATATGTTGAAGCCCCAATCCCCAATGTGACTGTATTTGGAGATGTGGCCTATGAGGAGGTGACAAGGTTAAATGAGGTCATGAGGGTGGGGCCCTAATCCAACAGGTCTGGTACCCTCACAGGAAGAGGGACACCAGAGCTCACAGCTATCAGCAAGCCAGGAAGAGTCTCACCAAGAACCAAAATCAGCCAGCACCTTGATCTTACACTTTTCAATCTCCAGATCCACAAGAGGGGCAATTTTTGCTGTTTAATCCATCTAGTCTACGGTATTTGCTCTGGCCCCCCAAGTTAATACACTATCCGACTTAAGATGGATTTTTTAATTACTTTTCATAACTGCCGTGCAAAGAACAAGCCACTACATTAAAAGAGCTACTGTGTTTCTGTGTTGTAGAGCTCTGCTGACCTGGATTCGCAATCATTCATCCTCATTCTGTGTATATATGTATGTTCACTCCATGCAAAGTATGTCAATGACAACATCTGTTCCTTTGCAACGGCCACCTTCCTACGTGGCTCTGTTCTCCGGCTCTCCCTCTCTGCTCCCTCAGAATGTCCTGGCTTCTGGTCAGAGACCCAATCCCATAAAGCACATGAAATAATCTACTTCTAATCAGGGATTTGAATAATTACTTAAAGAGGCCTTCTCTAAGCCCAGAAATTTGTTGGTGCTTAAAGATTTGGTGCTTCCCTGGGTGTTCTGGATTTTTAGTAACTAAATGAAAGGCTGGGAAATTCAACTTCTGGTCCAGCTTCTTATTCATCTCTCAATTTTAAAAGTACATCTAAAGGATATAATTTAAAATTCTCTAATATTTGAAAATGATAAATTATAGTTTCCAATGTTGTTGTATCTAGTTTACCTCAGTAGGTTTTTTTTGGCGGGGAGAACAGTTAATGAGAGCTAAGACATGCACATAATGACTTACCAAAATAAGAGATTCAAGGTTTTGGCAGAGGATTATGAAACACGTTTGGAGGGAAAAATTGTTCATTTTAATTACGATATAGTACTTTGAAGCTTTAAGAACTCATTCCTTCTGATAAACCTAAAACTTTTACACAATCTTTGATCTTTGCTATTTCAAAATAGATAAATCTTATGACATTAAATACATTAAATACATTTCCAAATCCTGGAAATTGTGACATAAACTACAACTAACCCCCAGCCGCCAGTACCCATGCCCTCAAACATAGCTAAAAAACAAAGTAGACAGATAATGAGTATATATTAAGGCTAAATCACTAGGTACGAAGACCAACAAAGCACTTACTTTATTAATTTTCAATGCTGGCAATGTTTCTGCATCTGTTTTTGCCAGATGGAGTTTGTTTTCTGGCACATACAGTTCTTTTACTTCGTAAGAGGCATCCACAGGTACGATATCCTATACAACAACAAAAGTACAATTAAATGTTTGCCTCAACAATTTAAAGTTCTCCAAAGGGTGTCTTGATGAAGAACATTAACATTTCAAAGTGAGACGTTATAAAAAAAAAGCATAAAAGAGGGCTCTGACTGCGGTGCCCCCTCCCCAGTCAATTTTCCTCATGTCAGCTCTCTCAACAGAGAATATCCCACATACAAGAAGTCACTGAGTATCATGTCCCATTGCCTAGTGAAAAGAATGAATTCCGAGAATGTGCCACATATGTAAAACCCAGCAACTGCAAAGAAGAGGTGACCTCAACTAAGAGGTAACAATAGAAAGAACTTGGAAGTAAATACAGTCACTCTGAATACAATCATTATTATCTTTAACATGTCACCAAACCATTTTATTCCAGCTTTTGTATGCATCTTTATCACTAGCGATCACCTTCTCAGTCCTGCCACATGAAACCCAAGAGTATGTCAGCTTTACTCCCACTCTGGCAGTTTGGGGAACAGCACTTTTTGGTCCCATATGAAATGCAGTCTGGAAATTTTATCTGAACTCCAAGTATGCATTTACACAACATTGGGGCAATGCTTGTCTCTCAGAATATACAAGAATGTATTTGTGATTACCACAACATAGCTCTTGAGCTGATCTTTACAAGGCTTGTTCGCAACACTTATCATACCCCAAGGAATAATTACTAAATGTGTTTAATTACTTCAACTTTCTTTTAAGCCAAATCTATTAGGTAACCTTTATAAGCATACAAAATTGTCAATGATTAAGGACTTTTCATACATGTATTTTGTCCAAGCAATACTTTGTTATTCAAAATAGAGTAATACTCAAGAGAATGAGAAGATAAGCCACAGACTGAGAAAAAATATTTGCAAAAAGCATATCTGAAAAAGGACTGTTATCTAAGATACAGAAAGAACACTTAACATTCAACAATAAGACAGGCGCCTGGGTGGCTCAGTCGGTTGAGCGTCCAACTTCGGCTCAGGTCATGACCTCACAGTTCATTGAGTTTGAGCCCTGTATTGGGGTTCTGTGGTGACAGCTCAGAGCCTGGCTTCAGATTCTGTGTCTCCCTCTCTCTCTGCTCCTCCCTTGCTCATGCTCTGTCTCTCTCTCAAAAGTAAATAAACATTTTAAAAAAATTTTTTTAATTCAACAATAGAAAAACAAACAGCCCAATATTTAAAAAATGGGCCAAAAATCTGAACAGAAACCTTACCAGAGAAGATCTACAAATGACCAAGAAACAAATGAAATGATACCTTACATCACATCAGCAGGGAAAGGCAAATTAAAACAAACCACCACACAGCTATGAGAATGGCCAATATCCAAAATACTGACAAAAACCAAACCCAGGTGAGGATGTGGAGTAACAGGAATTCTCATGCACTGCTGCTAGCAATGCGAATGGTACAGACATTTTGGAAGACAGGTTGGCAGTTTCTTACGAAACTAAACACACTCGGGGCGCCTGGGTGGCTCCATCAGTTGAGTGTCCGACTTTGGCTCAGGTCATGACCTGTGGTTTGTCAGTTGGAGCTGACAGCTCAGAGCCTGGAGCCTGCTTTGGATTCTGTGTGTCTCTCTCTCTCTGCCCCTCCGCCCCCCTCTCAAAAATAAACAAACATTAAAAAAAAAAAAAAACCTAAACACACTCAATTGTGCTCCTTGGTATTTATCCAAATGAGTTGAAAACCTATGTCCACACAAAAACCTGCACAGATGTTTCCATCAGCTTTACTCATAATTGCAGGACTTGGAAATAATCATGTCCCTCAGAAGACAAATGGATAAACTGGGACATCCAGACAAGGAGTGCAGTAGAAGAAACAAACTATCAAGCTACGAAAAAGACACTACAGAACTTTATACTACATATTAATAAGTAAAAGGAGCCAATCTGAAAAGGCTCCATACTGTAAGATACCAACTATATGACATTCTGGAAAAGTCAAAACTATGGAGACACTAAAAACATCAGTGTTGCCAGGAGTTATGGGCCAAGGGGTGGGGGTAAGCAGAACCAAAGAAGAGGGCATTTTTAGGGCAATGAAATGATACTATGACAGTAGATAGTGTCATTATACATTTGTCAAAACCCACAGAATTTACAACCCTAGTGTAAACTATGAATTTTGGATGAGATGTTACACTAGGTTTATCAATTGTAACAAATGTACTACTCTGGTGAAGGGTATTGAAAGGATAGGCTTATGGGGGAAGAGAGCAGGGGGTATATGGGAACTCACTGTACTTTCCACTCAGTTTTGCTATCAACCTAAAACTGCTCTTAAAACTAGTCAATGGGGGTGGGGAGGGGTTGGCACCTGGGTAGCTCATTTGGTTGAACATCTAACTCTTGATTTCAGCTCAGGTCATGATCCCAGGGTTGTGGGATCAAGCCCCTTGTCAGGCTCCAAGTGGAGCACAAAGCCTGCTTCAGATTCTCTCTCTCCCTCAGCCCCTCTCCCACAAATGCTCTCTAAAACAAAAGTTAAAATAATAAAAATTAGTCCATTAAAAAATGCAGAACAACAAAAGTAATTCAAAGTATCAATGGTGAGGGCCCCTGGGTGGCTCAGTCAATTAAGTATCCAACTTCGGCTCAGGTCATGTAAGTTGGAGCCCTGTGTCGAGCTCTGTGCTGACAGCTTGGACCCTGGAGCCTGCTTCAGATTCTGTGTCTCTCTCCTTCTCTGCCCCTCCCTTGCTCAGGCTCTGTCTTTCTCTCTCTCTCAATAATAAAATAAACATTAAAATAGTTACTTTAATTTTAAATTAAACATTAAAATAGTTACTTTAATTTAAAAAAATAAATAAATAATAAAATAAATATCAATAGAAGAACCAGATTTTTGAAGACATACTCTATTTTCCTGAGGAGTAAGTGTGGGAAAAAACTTCCAACTTATATTTGGACTTACATTAATATCTTCAGTAGAGGAAAAAAGCAGTCAGATATGTATATCAAAGCTAGCTGATCTCATAGAAGACCTAGTGCTACTATTCAAGTAGCCCCTATGGATTCTGAAAATCTAGAAAGATTTATTCTCAGGGCGGCCGGCTGGCTCAGTCGGTTAAGCGTCTGTCTTTGGCTCAGGTCATGATCTCACAGTTCCAGTTCATGGGTTCGAGCCCTGTGTCAGGCTCTGTGCTGACAGCTCAGAGCCTGGAGCCTGCTTCAGATTGTGTCTCCCTCTCTCTCTCTCTGCCCCTCCCCACCCCCTCAAAACTAAATAAAAACATTAGAAAGATTTACTCTCCCACATTTCTCCTCAAAGATGAAACAAAAGAGACAGTTTCGCATCAGCTAAATCGTATGCCAAAATCAGTCTCCTCCTACTGGTAAATTCAAGTCCTCTGATCTTTCTCATGATAAAACCAAGGATAAAGAGAGTAAACATGAAGGAAAAGAGAAAATAAGTAATAAAATTTCAACACAGGAAAGAAATTAAAAAAAAAAACACCACTTGCTACGATACCAAGTTTAGCTAATTGCTCTGGTGTGCAGACATGAAAGGTATTTTTGTCCCTTGAGCATCCCACTGCTCAGAGGAGGAGGCAAGTGGAAAAGTGAGTGTGTAAAACATAAACCATGCACACAGCCCAGGGCACTTCATATACCTTCCAGGCCTTCTGCAATGAAGCAGCCAGCAGGCATCCACAGCTGCAGGCTATTCATTGTGTTTACATGGCTAATACTACGTGACGACATTAAAGACAACAGTGAAGGAAGAATGACAGCTTCCACCACCTGCCTCTATTTTCTCTTCTCTTTGTAGGTTTCAATACTATACAACCTGTATTAATGAGGCAGATTGTTTGTTTGTTTGTTTGTTTATTTTGAGAGAGAGAGAACAGGTGAGAGGGGAAGGGGCAGAAAGAAAGGGAGGAAGAAAATCCCAAGCAGGCTCTGTCAGCACAGAGCCCAATGTGGGGCTCAAACTCATGAACTGTGAGATCATAACCTGAGCCAAAATCAAGAGTTGGACATTCAACCGACTCAGCCACCCAGGTGCCCCAAGGCAAATTATTTCTAATGATGCCAAGCAAAAGAGGGCATGTCTTAAAGTTTGCCATTGGGGTCTAAGTGGTAAGTATACATTCACAATTTATATATAATACTTGATTTCACTGTGTACCTGAAGAGGAAATCACATATAGCAAAGTCTCTTGTTTTTTTGGTATGTCAATTATATCTCAATAAAACCGAACGAAAGATGACTCTTCTTATAATCTAGCAAAAGAAATAACTTATGGTCGTTCATTCTGTCCATTCTAATTCCAGGAATTACTGTTAGTATATTTATTTTAAATTATAAAAGAGCAGTAAAGAGAATTTGGAATTGAGAAAACAAATCACCCCACATACAGTTATCATTGTCATTTTTGTATATTCCCTTCCCCATTACAGGGCACTGGTAGTTTCAGAAGTCTGTACAAAACCTATTATTTCATCAACTAGAAAATAAAAATTCAGGATCAACTTTTCCTGCACAAACAACATGACATGCATTAGGAGAACTGCACACACCCTACCATGTTCAGTTAGCTTCTTAGAAATGCAAAAGGTCTCAGAGGTCTTGAGACACACCCATTTTTCCAGCTGCAAGATAAAGACCAGAAATCCTCCACACTAGGAACAAATGCTAAAATGACATTACACAAAAAGTCAGGCATTCATTAACAGGAAGACCAGGATAAAAGTTCACAAAACAGACTTAAAACCAGAAACATTAGAAACACAGTATCTTCAAAACCAAAGATGTTAGCATCTGTGAACCTGTCTCCTCCTCAACTGTTTAAAATAGATATATATGCATATATGGTACAGGCCTGTTGTGAAATTCAGTAATTTTAAATCTCTGAAGTGCAGTGGCGCCTGGGTGGCTCAGGCGGTTAAGCATCCGACTTCGGTCAATGATCTCTCGGTCTGTGAGTTTGAGCCCCGCCCGCATCAGGCTCTGTGCTGACAGCCCAGA